TAAATTAGCAAAAATAAGTTAAAGTATTATGCTATAAGATTTAATTTAAAATACTTTTAAAAAAGTGGTTCAATGGAAATAAATTATAGAGATTTATAATATCAATAAATGTTGAATGTTGATAAAAATAATTTAAAAAATAAAATATCATTAATCATTATGATAAAATCTATTAAACAAAAATTATAAACTTTAAATGGATTAACATCAGCTTAAATCAAACCTATATTAAAAATAAATAAAAATAAAAATATGCATTGTGTAATAAAATGGTTCATAAAATAAATAGAAGACAAAATTGTACATGTACACTTTGTTTTACAAATTAWTGTTGTTATTTAATTAACAATATGTAAAAATTAAATTAAATTCATAGTAAAAAAAATATACATAAGACAGTATAATAGAAAAAATTAACATAGGTAAAAACTAAAGAATTAAGAAATAAAAATAAGAATCCAGAAAGCACATAGGCCAAAGCATAATATTKAATTAAATTATGTTAATATTTTGCAAAAACAATATCAGTCAACATAGGTTAAGGACCTAGTACTATTWAGCAAAAAATGTTAGTTCCTGTATAAATTAATTTCTATTGTGACCAAAAATATAATACTAACAATTTGTTATTTAATCACAAAATGCAGACATTTTACAATAAATAATGTAAATAGTATATTTTATTATTTTAATCATACTACCTGCAAACTATACTTTTACAGTTAATAATCACTATATAATGTATCTAATATTAATAAAAGAATCTATAGAATCTATTGGTACAAAAATTATAATTTAAGCTTAAACATAATAATTATGTTTAGAATTGTAAAACGCTCCACTAACAAAAAATTTATTTAAATATGAAAGCATAAAATAAAAAAAACATATTTAGACACCATTAAGTCTGAAGTGTATTTTTAAGAATTAATATAAATTAAATATAAATTAAATTAACTCTCCAGTTAAGTTTTATTATTTATAAAAAAATTAAATAAATACATAATACATAAGTTAGATACAGGTACCTACATCTAAAGCAATAAATAAATATTATATTATAATCATTTTTAGATATTAATCTTAATTAAAAAAAACTAATAATTATAATAGTACTGTTTACACAATAAAACTGGCATATTAGAATGTCCATGAAGTTATTCGGTAAATATCTACTGTATAAATAGTTTCTTTATTAGTTATTATATTTTAATACTAACTAAACARATTAGTGAATAATCATGTAACAGAATGAACATAGTTTACATTTGCTTTGATTCAGTGGAAAATATTTAAACYGYAATTTATTAATTTATGATAATATTTGCACTAATTAATGTATCAGAAAATAAATTATGGTTTTCAATTATGATGGATTTACCCTGTTAGGTATTTTATTTTTTTTTTACATAATATTACATTCAATGAGCTACCTACTTAAGTGTTAATTGTCTTATAAACGCTATTCTAAGTAAAATGTTAACATGTTAACATTAAATATTACACATTAATTTGGAAATTATAATATTAATAATACTTGATAAAAATGTAGTACATCTTCACCATAAATAARCTAATAAATAATTGAAATTACAGTAAATAGTTAGAGGAACGTCTTATTTATACTTAAATTTATTAACATTAAACTAATTATTAACAAACCCTTTAGTTATCTACAAGAGTCACATGTACACCTGATGTTTCCATGCGTTGAAGCCGTTTTGGATCACAATAAATTAAACAATTTCCAACTTGATTTGTCTTTTGATTAAGTACAGAGTTTTCTCCGTCTTCATAAAATGTAATACCTGGTTGAAGAGCATATTTTTTCTTTTCCAGTCGCTCTTTACTAGCAAATACATCATGCCTTTCTGTTTTTTTCCATAARTAATAAAAATGAACAAGTTCACCAACTGTTCTTGTAGTCACTCTGTGCTGTTGAATCAGATAGAAGTTTTTATTAAAGCAACGAATACCATTTTCAAAATTTTTGCATTCTTCTTCTGACCACACCATCATTGCTCTCCGACCAAACATTTGATCATTTAATGAAACTCGACGTATTGCTTCTTCAGTATTAAACCCACATTGCAAAAGTAAAAATAAAGCATTTTCATCATCTCGTACATGCTTACCTTTTGGTAATATACTTATACCGTGGGAAATCTGATAAATATGATGAAGATAGTCAGCAATAACTGCATCAGTTGAATTATATGGATCCCAGAGGAGTTTGTCAACATTTTGATATGGTGGATCATCTCCATACTTGGACAATCCATCTGGAATTTGAGCTTGATAATCGCTACCAACCATTATAGTTTTTTTCTTCACCTCATCAAAATCACTACCATCACTATCATCAGTAGGATCTGAATAATCAGGGCGATCATTTGTTACTCGCTTCGACATAATTTCGAGATCTTAAATCTAAAAAATAAATAATATATTTGTTAATTAACTACATTGTATTTAGTTTAAAATATATTTGAAATATTGACAAACAAAGTAGTCATTAAGATTGTTTAGTATAAAAAACATAAACAAATATTTAATTTAATAATATACAATTGACTCTAAAATATCATCAATGATAATACAAAAACTACAATTACCTATTGTTCTATTTAATATTTTTTCACGAGAAAGCGTTTTTTTTTTAAGAACATTCAATAGCAGTTCTAAAATTATTATCCTCAAAAAAATTCAGGATCCTGTTCCCCAGATTGAATAACTAATAATCAAATAATATTAATTTGTAACTTTGAAATCTTGAGTATCAATTAATTAAAATGACGGAACATCGAAATACCAAATACTGAACCATCCAATATTTATTAATTATTATAAATAAAAATGATGAATTTATAAATTATAATATCGAATACGTATTACGTAAATGAAACTTATAAGTAATAAGTATCGAAGTATTGACTAATAAATAATAATGAAGTAAGTATGAAACTATGAACAAATTGTTTATAAACAAARCAATGCAATGGTACCAAAATTCTGGTTCCTGATAAACATATGTTTTTATTTTGATATGGATTTGTATTCAATTTTGATAATACTATTTCATGGAATAATAGGTAAGAACAATATTATTATAATCCAAAATCCATAAAAAAATATATTTATATTCTAATATTCTATACTAGCCGACGCCGGTATGGCACTATGGAGTATGGACTACCGGTCCAAAGCACAATTTATGTCATTTATGATATTTCTTATTTCTAAAATCGTGTCATGGTGGTCTTAACTCAGTGGTGTAATTAGGGGAGGGGGGATTGCTGAACTTTATACCTATTAAAATTAATACAATATCAATTATCATTTATCAACTATATTTCATTGATTTGTTGAATTTTTTTTAAACTTACTTAAAAATGTTGTTATCACTTTAATTAATTTCATATAAATATTATATCATAAATTATAATGTATCATAGTATAGAGTATAGACTATAGATACAGCATATAGGTATAGTATTTAAAATATAGGTACCTACAGACTTTGATATTTGTTTATGTTATTATATTGTCATCAAATATAAAAAGATACCTATTGTACACGCAAGCAATTCAATTATCTTTAAATATGAGTAATATGATTTAATTTGTCATTACGATTTACGATAATTGGACTGATAAAAATTTTGGGCCTGCTGAAATTTAATGGAATTACGCCAATGTCTAAAGTTAAGAAGAAAGGCACTTAGAGTTTAGACTCTAAGTGCCGTTCTTACAATGCCCGGTTAAAGTTAACGAACACTTAACCGGATACCAGACATTGTTAGAACCGGCCCAACATGGGCAGTTAGGTCATTTTCGGGCTACCGGAAAATTTTAAAAAGTGGCCCCCACATRAAAAAAAATTTAATAATATATGATATTGAAGGGTCCCATTACCAAAATACGAAAGGGGCACACCGGGAAATGCCCGGTGGGCCTATCCGTCCATGTGGTCCAAAGTCTAAGGACTGTGATTCTAGATGATATATCACAGAATGGATAATTATATGAATATAATAGGTATATTATTATAATACAACGTTATACCCATCATAATTTCATTAGAATTATTTCAAAATAGCGAAAATGTAATGGAAATTACTTTTTATAAGTAACATTTCTAAATTCTTTACGAATTGAAATTTCAATAAATATGTCTAAAGACTTAAGATCCCCACATAGTACATACTGCAGTGGTGTAGGTAGGTTACGGAAATTCGGATATTAATCATGCCAATATGAGGCGTGTAGAACCATATTATATTGTATTATGTAATATTATCTAATATTATATTATATAAATAAATKTTATTTAAGATAATTAAYTAAATTTAAAAAATTTAAATAGCCAAGGGTCGGCGTTCTAACATCTAATCATATGAAACTCTCTAATAAGCTCCTACTCAGGCCCATTTGGACTTATGGGATCCAACTATGGGGCGYTGCCAAAATCTCCAACATCAACCGCATCCAAAGATTCCAATCAAAAACTCTACGTACAATTCTTAAAACGCCAATCTTTGTCTCTAATCACACCCTCCACTCCGACCACAAAATTCCTTATGTCTCTAAAATAACGAAAACACATTATAAACGTTTCAATAGCCGCCTAGCCCACCATACAAATCCCTTAATCTCTGACCTATCATTTTTTTCTATCCCAGGTAACCCAACTAAAAGATTAAAAAGACAGTGGTGTCGCGACCTGCTAGCCTAAATGAATATTTGTACAATAATAACCTAGCCTAAGAAAATCTTATTCATGTCGTAATACCTCCACTGGGAGGCCTCTACAATCCGTCAAATCTGCCATTTAATATATATT